TTTCATTTTCTGCAATTTACTAGATTATCATTTAAAGTGCAATGTAGGATAATCCTTAATATTTTTATACTACAGGTAGTATTTCTGTTACTCTTCATGACTTATCACTAGTTTATTGTTTAATGTGCATTTAGTATATTTCCCCTATAAATCATAGAGAAGAAATGGAAGCCAATACGAAGATAAGTTTCACATAAAAGCCCATTGTGACCCCTTAAATGAAATACATTTACTCTGATGTGGAAGCCAATGTGATGAGTGAAACAGAATGCAGTTTGGTATTAAAAACCCTATGGGAAAGTAGGAATTTTATGCTCTTCCAAAGGTTACTTACTATAACACACTACGTTTTTTTTTCTATCTCATTCTTAATACAGAGGTGCTAATATGTAACAGAGAAAATAAAAATATAGAAAAATGTTACTTTATTTCTGCAGAAACAAATCTAAAGAATTTGCTACAGAAATAATATACTAGACCAGTGTGCTATGAATCTAAATTTGTGCACTGAAATTATAATGAATACTAATTAATGGCAAAAAAGTTTTGGAGTAATGATTGAATATACTGATTTGTAATGGATTAGACTTTTGGATATTTTAGACAGTAAAAGCTAATGAAGGGGGTACATGTTTACATTTAAATAGAATGAGATGTCATTACCTAAATTAATAATGCAAACTTGAAAAATAGCCTCAGGTTCAAAAGACCAATTATAAAGTTCTTTTGTAAACAAATCTATATTTGTATATTTCATGAATAATTATAACTACTAGTATTTCTCCCCCTAATGTTCAATTTATAAAATGAGAAATATATTTTCAAATGAAATTTAAATAATATTTCAGTTTCTAATGGTGGCAACCTGCCTGCAAATAAGTGTTAATAGTGGCAAATATGGGAACGCTCCACAGGAATAAGTCTTATCTATTGATACCATACAAATAAAAACATAAAACTAGAAGTTTTTAAATATTTTGAACAGTAAAATATTGCAGAAATAAACCAGTGTGATAAATGCGAAAATAAATAATTTTCTTCTTAGGTAATATGTGATCATCTTAAAGATTTATTAAATCTATGAAAATATACATATTCGAATTTATTTGTGCTGTGAAAGAATATATTTTTGTGAGGTAGATACAGGATCCTGTTCCCACTATCTTATACAACAAAAATAATCTTTGGAAACTTAACTATTCATTTTAAATCATTTTTTCGTCCACAAGAAAGTAAAGATCTAACCAAATCTCTTCTAACCATAGTCTCTCACTTCAGGAGAATTCAAACTTTTGCAGTTTTTTTATATTCCTGGTCAAGGTTAACTTGCCTTTTGTTCACTAGTAAAAGAAAGCCTATTCATAAGGACACAATGGTAAAGCTGTCCCATGAACAGAAAGTGCTCGAATCATTTACTTTCAGTAATAATCAAATTATTCAAAGGTTTTAAATAAAGATTAAAAATTACTCTTTTGGGCCGGGCGCAGTGGCTCAAGCCTGTAATCCCAGCACTTTGGGAGGCCGAGGTGGGTGGATCACGAGGTCAAGAGATCGAGACCATCCTGGTCAACATGGTGAAACCCCGTCCCTACTAAAAACACAAAAACTCAGCTGGGCACAGTGGCGCGTGCCTGTAATCCCAGCTATTCAGGAGGCTGAGGCAGGAGAATTGCCTGAACCCAGGAGGTAGAGGTTGCGGTGAGCCGAGGTCGCGCCATTGCACTCTAGCCTGGGTAACGAGAGTGAAACTCCGTCTCAAAAAAAAAAAAAAAATTTTATAATGTACATTAAGCATTTCCAAGGGAACTCTGGTAGCTCTCACTGGATTTAAATGTCCTAAGTCTTTTATTTACAGAACAGTAACAATGTACTTAGAAAACATCACCTTTTTAATGTAGTACCTGACAGAGTTCTAACATGGATGGGATCCAGCTGGCTCAAATGCAGCCCTATACACAAGTGAGGCTATTTCAGGGAGATAATTTGAATAGGGGACGAGTAATATGACCTCAACCTTAGCAAAAAGTATAATACATTTTTAAACCAAGAAAACCTGAAATACTGTGAAATACTTGTATGCATAAATGAGTCTACCAAAGCACAGTACAGATCAGAGGGAAAAGAACTCACAACCTTTCAGTCATACTAGCAAAAGCCTGAAATTGTGCTTCTAGAAATGCGCTTTAAAAAACCAGGGACATACACAAAGATTTAGGTGTAAGCATTTTCAGGGTAAAAGCCTGAAAATGGCCTACATGTCTAAAACGTGAATAAATTCATTATTGGGCATCGATGTAACCTGGGGCCGGGCACAGATGAAAGTCACATTGCCAAACAGTTTAAAAATCAGGCATTATGAAACTGTAAAGTCTTCTCAGCAATTATCCAACAATTAATTTTGGATTTAATAAATTTTTAACTGCTTCAAAAACTGTCTTTTTTTTTTTTTTTTTAAAGCAGATTGGCATGTATTATAAATAACATTTTAACACACTGAAGGCCTTCAGGACATTGAACTCCTGCGTTACCTTGTTGAGCAATATTCTGAGATGGAACGTGAAGGAAAACCTGAAACCATGAGAAAACATTCACCTGAGACGACAGTGAAAACAAGGGCGAGCATTCATCAAGCGACTGAGGTGCCAGGCTCTGGCTCAGTGACTTCAAAGTGCTTCTCACCTAATATCCACCATAATCCTACGAGCTTGGTCCACTAAGAAGTCACAATTTACAGATGAGAAAGTGGCATTTCACTCAATAGTTTGACCACGGCCCCTCAGCTCAGGAGTGCTGAGCCCAGATTCTCCATGCGGCTTGAACTCCTCATGACACCCTGTGCCGTGCTTACACCAAACGCAGACAGAAACTGGATGCTGCGACTCCTCCTATTTAAAAATGTGTTGCTTGTCAAAACAGTATTACGCTATTTTTAATGTTGTAACAAGTACATATAGACTTTAATGGTGAAATCTACTTATAAGTGGGTAAATATCACGTTCATCTGTTTTATTTGTGGAATTTCAGATATAATCTTGTTTGAAATCAGAATCCTGCTACTTAAAAGTTTGAAGACGATATAGTAGTTCTATAGGAGAATGCTTACCGACATAGAAAAGTATTTACAAATTTTTAAGTATAAAAAATAAAATATATACTGAAACAAAAAAATCCCACCCCCAACAACAGTAATGAAAACCTTATGCATATAGTACAAACTGAATGAGTATAATCCTCAGAGGTAAGGGTGAAAATTAAGGGAAATTCTTGTATTTTCTAATTGCTTTTCTGTGTTTTACAGGAATGCCAGCTATAGTACGATCTCTTTAATAAGGAAAAAGAACAATCAGTAATGTTTGTTTTTTAAAGAACTCATATTATCAGCACCACAGAATTTCTGTGTCTACCTCTAATTAAATCACCATTTTACCAAATTTCCAAGAAATACCAATCCAGTGTTAAGCGAGACAGAACTCATAAAATGTTGCATGAATAAATAATTAATGACTAAAATATATCTGTAATATCTCTGCACTATACAATGACCTTTCACATAAAACTTAATGTAATAATGTGGCTAATAATAGAGATTATGGCAATATATTTGCTAAATGCATAGGCTAGATCCACAGGAATATAAAAATCTACTTTTTAAAGGGTTTATCCTTAACATACATATTATAACATTTAACAAAATGCGCTGCATTTAAAGACGCACCCTCAATTTTATGTAATCATGTGGGTCGGGCACAATGGAGATCTTCAGCTCCAGGATAAGGAAGGCTTTCACCCTTGAGTTCAGGCCATGACATTCAGCTACCTGCAAACTATGTGGGGTCCCGCAGACCACCACGTGGGGTCCAATCTCACTCTTGCAGGCTTCAGGCATGATGCGACCTGGCTGCAAGCTCATGCTGCACCTGATCTTCCACTACGTCTCTCTACACACACCTTATCATGTACTTGAGAGGATGACTTAGCATTGCCTGAGTATACCTCACTCTTCTGCACCAAGGATTCGCTGCTGCCACTACCCAGCAGACATCACTCAGCCACTGTGGATGCAAGTGAGTGGACTGAACATCCATGACCTCCGAGATGCTTTCGGTACTAACATTCTACATGGTGTCATCCCCTCCTCATTCTTTTAGAACACACATTGATTGGGGCCTGGAAATAATTTTCCCATTTTTCACACCATAGCTGAGACGTTCTCTCCTCCGTGAGGACTTCATCTGGGCTCCACACAATCCTGTATGTACTTCCCTGGCCTCTCCCGTTTCCCATTCAAATCTGTATTATAATTACTTATAAATATTGAGTCACTTTTTATGCTATATTCTTAAAGGCAGGAAATTTTCTCGTATCATCTCCATTGTCATTAATGAGTGCTTTATTCATAGATAAAAATACCATAAATGGGTTGAATAATTGATTAAAATTAAAATGGTTTCCTTACTTTGAGAAATGCAATGAAATCGCTGGAAAATGCAGTCATAAGAAAAAAGTATAAAATCTAAATGTTAAGATTATAGAAAATGGAAAAGGATGTTATTTCTTTAAACAGTAACTAAATTCTGCATGCTATTACAATGGTAGATACTGTCATTACAAATTTGTCGAAACCCATAGAATGTTCAACATACAGAGTGAATCTCAATTGAAAATATAGAGTCTGGGTGAGAACAATGACAATGCAGGTTCACCAGCTGTAACACACGTACCACCTGGTGGGGGATGCTGATAATGGAAGAGGCTCTGCACGTGGGGGCTGGGGGACACACGACCCATTTCTGTACCATCCTCTCCATTTTACTGTGAACCTAAAACCACTCTAAAGAATAGTTTATTTTTTAAAAGTCACTAAAATTAGATAATACACTCTCAACCTAATATATGAATTCATGGTGATTAGAAAAACTATACTTGTAATTGGTATTTAACAGGCTTTTAATCCATCGTGGCGGCCCACCTGACTTGACTGCTCAGTGATGAGTCATTACCTGTAGTCACACCAGGGGCATCTGTAGGGCTTTTCTCCAGTGTGTACACGTTTATGCCGAGTCAAATGCGACTGGGTTGTGGAGGCAAAGTTACACTCATCACATTTGAAAGGTTTTTCTCCTGTAACATATCAAGAAATGTTATAGATGAATAATAATGACAACTGAAAATGAAGGAATAAACCTGGTATTGACAATGTTAAAAAACACTTATTTCCATGAAATGTCAAGAATATGATTCAATGGACTCCACACATTTAGGATATTTGGATATTTATTCTCAGAGTGAGAAAATTAGAAGATATCATTGATTTTGGTTTTTATATTAGAATGTAAGCAAAATATATATTATATGGTTAAAATTTATTTTACATAAACAGGAATCTAAATTCTAGGTATGGTTCAGCACTGTATTTAGAATGGTTTAACAAACTATGCTACATTAGAGCCGTTACAAAAATCTTAGTGAGGTTAAGATCAAGGATAGCATATATCAAAGTTATAGTTTGAATATATAATATAAAACAGTAAAATCTTAACATTAGATATGAAGAAAAATAAATAAAATCAAGCTATAAATGGGCAGCAACAGAACAACAAAAGTCAGAAGCAACAACAACAACATACACTATATTAAGCTGAGTAAAAAGAGACCCCAAATAAATATTTAGAATATGTAATACCACACTAAAACACACCAACCTGTGTAGCTCTAACAGATAGATGCTATGTAGTACTTAATGGCAGGGACAGGTTCTAAAAAATGTGTGATTAGGTGATTGCACTGTAGTGAGAACATCCTGCAGTGACTTTACAAACCTAGATGGCATAGCCTACTACACACCTAGCTAGATGGTGTAGCCCATTGTCCCTGGGCTACAAACTTGTACAGCATGCTACTATACTGTAGGCAACTGTAACACAATAATAAGTATCTGCATATCTAAATGCATCTAAACACAGAAAAGGTACAGTAAAAATACAGCATCATAATCTCATGGGACCACCACTGTGTATGTGGTCTGCTGATCTAAAGGTTACGTGATGTGTGACTCCATGTGTGTGTGAACGTGCTTATAAAATGTAACACTTCTACCCATGAGAAGTTCATGGCTTGCAGGGGACACGAAGAGAGTGAAACAGAATGCTGGTATCTTGAACAAAGTCTTTCCTTCATTTGACACCTCCCTCTTTTTTAAATACTTCCTCCCCACCCCACACACATTCCAAGAATTACTGAGTCTTATCAGCTTTTAATTCCACTGGCTATTGGCACTGAAAATGGGGATATTTAACTTTAATTAATGTAAATTTACATGTAAAAACTGATAGTCGACTCAGCTATTGAAAAAATGCTTAAATATGGTTGGAACAGCTTGGGAATGTGAATTGACCTTTTGAAGTGCCACTTTTATCAAACCTAAACATAGACCATATATTCCTCTGAATGGTGATATTCTAAACTGTAAAATACCAAATTTCAAAATCATAGTACAAAGATTATAATAAAAATAACATTAATAATGTTATATAGATTTGATGTAGAAATGATAATTTGAATTTGGTTAAATTAACTTTTATAAAATGGTTAAACCTGTTACTATTCCTTTTTTTAAATATGGCTACCAGGAAATAATATTATACATGTATAGGTCACATTACATTTGTATTGGACAGTAAGATTTAGAGAAAACCTCACTCCCCTATTGTCAAAAAAAAAATGCATAGTAATATTTTTCTCTACATTTTTCCTGGCAAATTTTACATATAAGATGGATCAGTTTTATATCTATTCAATAACTCTACTTGTTATTTCTTACTTTCCCTGTTTTTGTGATGGCTGTATACGTATACTGACTTACTTAGAAAATGAGGAGCAAAATATCTTAGTTTAAAATTACTCTCCATCAATTAGGCTATCAGCAAAATCATATCTGAAAATTAGAGCGTTTAGAAGTTCGCCCTACATTCCGTGGCTATTTATACTGCTTCTCCGTAATTGTAGTAGCATCTAACTGAATGCATACACAACTCATTTGGTGGTATTTTCTCTCTCATTGCAGCACAGTACTTAGATGAAGCCAGATGGACTTCAGTTCTGACCCCAGTTTTGCCATATTTCCCTTCCTACCTATTAGACCCCTTGAACAACATCGCGAGGATACCACCACCAAACATGCAGGGTAATTGTGAGGATTAAAGACTACAAAAAATACGGAAAGAGCACACTTAGTGCAGAGTTCTCAGTAGCCGGTGGTTTTTATCGCTGTGATGGCAGAACTGCCTAAACACTGATAATGGTCAGCAAGTCTCTGCCAGAGACCAAAGGAGCACACAAATGCTTCTCCTCAAGAGCTCATAACCAGGAAAAAGATGAATGGCCAGCAAATATAAAATAATTCATGCTTTTACACAGTTAGTGAATATGACAGAGAGAGAGCATTTAACACATCCTACCAGGAAATATTTGACCTGTTCTTGTTTTTTTTTTTAAAGACATATACCAAGTAGAGTAAAAATCTGAATTGAAAGGCATTTTTGTCTCTTTTAGCCTTTTGTCTACAAGCTAAATCCCATCTATAGCACCCCACCCATGTGGGCACCTGAGGTCTGCTTGAATAACTCTGTTCTCAGTTTCTAAACCTCTGGGCAAATGACTTAATTAAATAGCTATAGACAACTCAATTGTACTGAAATGACTTACGCAAAAATTTACTTTTACAATGATGGCAGATTTTGCTTTAATTTGGTAGAAAATATATGACATTGATATTGAACAAGAGTAAAGAAAAATAGTCAAGCTATTCAAAGTTGACACAGGAATATTCTGTATCATGGAATATGAACATCCACACAGCATATTTGAAAACAATTTGAATTGTTCATTTAAACAAAAATGAGTAGTAATTTAATGCACACCAATGTCAAAGTACAGCACACCTCAAAAACAGAAACACAAAGGAAGCACTGGTCTAGATAAAACACTTACTATAAATTACTGTACTAACCTGACCTGTATCTGTCTAGACTGGCCATATGAGGCCGAATGTATAAAGCATTTTAAACAGCTTCAATGAGTCATAATTGACATACAAAAACTTCCATTTGGTAAGTTTTGTTATTGTTGAAACTACTGCCACAATCAAGGTAACGAATGCAACCATCATCCCCAAAAGGACTCCCGCTAACTTCCTGGTTTTCTGCTCATCCCACTGTCAAGCCACCATGCTTTCTGCCGCTGTTGTATTAGTTAGTATTTCCTAGAAATCTATACACCTGGATACATATAGTATGAGCTCTCTACTGTCTGGACTTTTCGTCTCAGCATAATTATTTTCTGACTCATCTATGCTACTATGGGTATAATCACTTCATTTATTTTCGTTGCTAAGCAGTATTCCATTATATGGGTGTACCAAGTTGGATTAACCATTTGTCTACTGAAGGACATTTGAGTTGTTTCCATTTTTGGCTACTACAACAAATAAATCTGCTCCGAGCCTTCATATGCAAGTCATTATATGAACATATATTTCCTCAATTTGGGTAAGAAACTGCCACATTGTTTCACAAAGTGGTTTGAACACTTCACATTCCTACCAGCGAATGTACAACTTGCATCAAATTGCCGCCAACACCTGTCGTAGTGAACGCTTTACACCTGCATTCCTCGAAGGGCGCTGAGGGTCCTTCCATGTGCTCATCCACCATACCTTTATATTCTTTGGGGAAATATCTGCTTCAACTTTTTGACTCATTTTTAAATGGTTGTTTGTTTTCTCAGAATTGTGTTTTGAAAGTTCTTTACATACTCTGGATAAAAATTATAAAATTTGTCAAATATACTTTCTCTGTCATTTGTCTTAATTCTGTTCATAGCACCTTTTGAAGAGAAGTTTTACTTTAGGAAGTTTTCAATTTATCAGCATAATTTTTCAAGTTAGTTTTTTATTTTATTAATCAGGCTACTGATGGCATATCAAAGAAATCATTGGGCCGGGCTTGGTGGCTCACACCTGTAATCCCAGCACTTTGAGAGGCCAAGGTGGGCAGATCATGAGGTCAGGAGATGGAGACTATCCTGGCCAACACAGTAAAACCCTGTCTCTACTAAAAATACAAAAATTAGCTGGGCATGGTAGTGCCTGTAATCCCAGCTACTCGGGAGGCTGAGACAGGAGAATCGCTTGAACCAGGGAGTCGGAGGTTGCAGTGAGCCAAGGTCGCACCACTGCACTCCAGCCTGGTGACAGAGCAAGGCTCTGTGTCAAGAAAAAGAAAAAAAAGGAAATCATTAATAACCCAAAGTCAGACATAATTTTTACCTATGTTTTCTTCTAGAATATATGTAGTTTTAAGCTTTATATTTAGATTATCATCATTTTGAGTTAATTTTTGTATATAGTATGAAGTATAGGTCAAAGTTCATTTTCATTGAACATGGATAGCCCATTGTCCAACTGTTACAACACAGAATGCTGAAAAGACTAAATTGCCTTTACTCCTTTGTAAGAAAAACAACAAAAACAGAAAAACAATTCACCGTGTAGTGTAGTCTATTTCTGTAATCTTCATCCTCTTCCACTGATAAACATTTGTCTATCTTGATAACAATACCAGAAGGATTTTCTTATTGCAACCTTATAAGAAGTCTTGATATCAAGTAGTGTAAGTCCTCCTATTTTGTTCTTTCTCAGTGTTAGTGACTTATTTCAAGTCTTTGAATTTCCATATAAATTTTCATATCAGCTTGTCAATATCTTTTTAAAAAAATAGCCAGGGGCCGGGCGAGGTGGCTCATGCCTGTAATCCCAGCACTTTGGGAGGCCAAGGTGGGTGAATCATGAGGTCAAGAGCTCGAGACCATCCTGGTCAACATGGTGAAACCCCGTCTCTACTAAAAAACACAAAAAAATTAGCTGGGCATGGTGGCGTGTGCCTGTAATCCCAGCTACTCAGGAGGCTGAGGGAGGAGAATTGTCTGAACCCAGGAGGCGGAGGTTGCGGTGAGCCGAGATCGCGCCATTGTACTCCAGCCTGGGTAACAAGAGCGAAACTCCGTCTCAAAAAAATAGCCAGATGGAATTTAGATTGATTGATGTGAAGGAAACTGAAACCCTAACAATATTAACCTGTCTAATCTATAAACATGGTATATCACTCTGTTTAGGTCTTCTTTCATTTTCCTCAGCAGTGTTCTGATGTTTCCACCGTAAGGGTTTTGCACATCATTTGCTAAATTTATCTTTCAATATGGTGACTTATTTAACAACAATTGACAAATAAATGTACAGGTCTATTCCTGGATGCTGTTTTGTCCTATTGGTCTATGTGTCCAACTTTATACCTCCGAAATACTACAATGAGTATGGTAGCTGTATAATAAGACTTAGGTAGGTAGTGTAAATCTTCTCCTTTTCATATGATAAATCTAAGTGGTCAAGCAATTTAAGGATTTTGTTTATTATGCAGATTCACAAATACATTCTGATGTCTCCTTATTCCATTCAATCTAACGGTTTATAAAATGTTTTGGCATCATAACTCACTGCTATTTTCTTTATTGTAACAGTGTTGGTAGGTATCTCGGAACTAACCATTTTTCATAGATTTTGCTGATATCTTAGGTGGGGTAAAAGGGTGACACCATGAACTCCGTTGCCTGAGTCAATGGTACAAATTAAAGGTCATCTAACATCTTTGAACTTAATTCTCTTGGTTTCATAGTTTAACATAACCTCTTTAAAAACTCTGTTTAATGTAGCTCATTTTATTTAAACTTACATGAAAATCTTTATGTGACAAAATTTAAATTTAAAAACAATCCTTTTAAAGAAAAATGTCACATATATTCTCTACAGTTCACATTAAACTAGTATTATAATAAATTATAAATGGTCTTTTCATATTTTCTTTGACCACACAATAGATTACATTGTATAATATTAAACAAGTTTGAATTATACACAGGATGACAGGGAAAAATATAATGCTACAAAAATATCAAGCTACATAAAATACTATGCTGAGCAAGGCCCACACATCTGGGCTCTTGATAGTTAAGTCCATGTCAATTTATACAAGCACAGATTATTCAAATCTGTACATAATAGTTAATCTGAAACTCATCAATCAGTTACATGTCCAACACTATTACTGTAATATATAATTTGATAACTCCTTTTCTCTATTATGGGTAATTTCCTCAGGAAAATACACTACAGAAATACAGATGGAGTTCTGTGGTTGTTAGTCTCAATACATACCCAAAAATATGGACCTGACTTCTACACCCAAGATTGAAAGAAAATCTCACAAATTTGCAATAAGAATTTAAGTTTGCTAAATATTTGCTAATGGTTTGAAGATGACATACATCACATAAAGACATTATATGAAGACATATATACATTTTCTGTTAAGGAAAAGATACTAAAGGCAGACTGATCAAACAGGTTTGGAGCATATTGGCAAAAGTGCTGCTTTGAAATCCTTTGTCATCTCAAAGGCAAAAGGATGAATAAATCTAAGTAAGATATGCGCTACTCTCAAACGATGTTGTCTGTACGTCACTAGGGCTGCCTGTACATATGCTTTCCCAAAAAAGCAGAACAAGGGGAAATTTCCTTTCCTCCTACTTCCCTCTTACATCACAGTACCTGTTAGTTGAAATTCTGTTGCTTTTCACACTTTCTGTTACAAGTAGTAATCTTGGCTAAAATAATCATTAAGAAACATATTGCATCTGAGGTCCCATTGACAAGGAAAGCCAAAGAAGGAACAGCAGAAGGGCTATCGTCATAGTGCGGTGTCCTTTGTGTGTCAACTGTCCGTCAGTCGGGCTGACCGCTTCTCATGGAAACACACAGTCGCATTCCTTTGGGTGGGCTGGTGGTAATTAAGCTGGCCAAGACTGTTTAACTACACGTGAGGATCTGCTCTTGTGCCCTTGAATCAAGGGTCTCTGACAGGTGATACAAGTAAATCTTAGAATGGAAGATGTTTTGCGTCAGCCCCCTGGACAATCTGTATCGTGGTGAGAAATTATTTACACCGTTTCGAGCACTTTTGATACCTATCCCTTTCCAAGCCGATTATAATTTGCGTGAGTACTCCACAGTAAAAAGGTAAACCATGTCAAAGAGGAATACATCAGGGAAATATAGATTTCAAATGTACCATACAAGTCTGGCCTTGGGGGAAAATGGTTGTGTGTTGCTTAAATATTTTAAATCTAGCAGAAAAGTTACGTGCCTAGACTGAGCTGTGCTAAGCTGTTTTGTTGAAGCAAACAGTCTTAAGAACTGACTTTGGTGTTAAAGAATCATGTTTGATTTGTGCCACAGAGGCAGATAAATGCCAAAAAGACAGATGCCTCTGTCTGTGAGACATTGTCCTATATAGTATAAAGTTAATAGCAAAGTAATAAGGAGCCTCTGGACCTGACATAAAATATAAAGTTGTGCCAGCTCAATGCAGGCATCCTGATCGATCTATCACCGGGAACGCCTGTGATCACAACGTTCCTGTCTCCACTGCAATGGGCACTGACCTGCCGCTGGCAGAGGTGGCACAGCAGTCTGATGTTTCCTGGGGCCATACCAGGTGGGACAAGGTGAACTTCAATGGCATTTAAATAGTAACAATTTGAGCACTGATAAAATGAAAACATTAAGAATAAAAAAGCCCTCATGAGTATACTGTTACCATAAATATTTCCCATTTCCAACTTCATTACAACAGTGGTCAAGAACAATTACCACTAAATGGGTCCCTCCTGTCATCTCTTCCACTGAATCCTTCAGCCAGTGGATTACGGTCATGCATGCACTGGCGGCTTCCATAAACTTAAAATGAACTTTGTTTTCAAAGTTTAGTTTGTGCTTCCAATATTATGCTAAACATTGAAATTTCCCATTGACTCAATAATAACTCATATCCCTTATGAAAATCTGAATCATATTCACACATCTAAAAGGAATGGCTGGCATTAATTTTCATTGATATTGCAAATGCCATATTGGGCACTGAAGCTCCCTACATCTAACTGTTAAATACAACATATCAAGAATCATAATGTACCATAAATAACACATTTTATACATTTTAATTTCATGCCATTTTGAGTATGACTGACAAACTCAACCATTCTCATGAGACCTAAAGAAAAGTAGGACATTTAGTTACCAATTTTGTCATCAAGTGACTTATCATGTAAACTAGGAAACATTTAGAGTAAAAAGTGGTTCTATTAATCATTACAAGATCACCATAAATCAGCACTGTCCTAGGCATACATAAATTAGCATTATGAAAATAATTACTTATAAGACCCATTAGATTATACAAAGTAGGTAATATAATTTGATAAATGTTTAACACTTTTCATCTTTAAGTGCTCCTGATATGGTTTGGCAGTGTCCTTACCCAAATCTCATCTTAAATTCCCACATGTGTGGGAGGGACCAAGTGGGAGGTATCTGAATCACGGGAGCAGGTCTTTCCTGTGCTGTTCTCGTGATACTGAATAAGTCTCATGAGATCTGATCATTTTAAAAAGGGGAGTTTCCCTGAGCAAGATCTCTTTTCTTGTCTGTCACCATGTAAGATGTGCCCTTCACCTTCCACCCATGATTGTGAGGTCTCCCAGCCACATGGAACTATAAGACCAATAAACCACTTTCTTTTATTGAAATTGCCCAATCTCAGGTATGTCTTTATCAGTAGTGTGAAAATGGACCAATATAGCTTCTAATCAAGGAATCTATTTTATTTCACTGAATTATGGAGAATGCACATCATGGAGGGAAAAGTCCTCTTCAATGACCATAATTAACTCTTACGTTGCTTTTTGATGCTTTCCTTTTTTTTTTCTTTTTTCTTTTTTGAGACAGAGTCTCACTCCCTTACCAGGCGCCAGGCTGGAGTGCGGTGGTGCAACCTCGGCTCACGGCAACCTCCGCCTCCTGGGTTCAAGCAATTATCCTGCCTTAGCCTCCCGAGTAGCTGGGACTACAGGCATGCGCCACCAGGCCCAGCTAATTTTTTTGTATTTTAGTAGAGACAGGGTTTCACCATGTTGGCCAGGATGGTCTCTATCTCTTGACCTCGTGATCCGCCCGCCTCGGCCTCCCAAAGTGCTGGAATTACAGGTGTGAGCCACTGCGCCCGGCCGTTGCTTTCCATTTTTAATACCAAGAACAATTGAAACAGCATTGACTTCAAATCCTATCTAGGCACAGGTGGATTGATGGACAGGCAGGTAGGGAGGGAGACAGGGAGAGAAAGAGAGAAAAAGGGAGAGAGGGAGGAGACATGTAGCTAGCTAAATAGGGAGGCGGGTGATTAGCTACTATGTGGGTAGAGAGAATGACTGAAAGGGAGAGGGGCTGACAAAGACTCCATTTTCCACCCACGAGGCCGAAGGCAGAGATTTGCCAACAGAGAAAATAGTCTCCTATATCTGGGCTTTGGAGGCCAACCTGCTGCTTTATGTTTTATTTCTACTTAACATGAATTTACTGAGGGTACCGGCTTCTTGAAACATGGAATAGGTCTACATTTTAAATATATAAAAACAGATGATTTAAAATCTTATGTTATTCAACTGAAATAATCCTATGTAGGCCTTAAGTTCATGGATGTTACAAAAATTAAAAACGAAAGTAACTGATGACATCAAGAACTGAGGCTGGGGTATCTGCCGCCTTGCTGTCCTTTCTGCAGAGAAGGGGCCAGAGCAGACGCGGAACTGACCTGTGTGCTGCCGTCGGTGCTTGGTGAGGGCGTGGCGGGTCCCTCCCGCAAAGCCGCAGAGGTCACACAGAAACGACTTCTCGCCTGTTGCAACAATAAACAGATGAGGGACTGCGGAGGTCACAGATCATTAAAACATATCTATCAAGGCTTTCAGGGTTACTAATTCCTCCAATCAAATGTTTCCATGTAAATATGTCAAATGGGAATGAAATTACCACTGCAGTTTATTGACTGTGATAAAATCTGAAAAGCACCACTGAACATAATTACATACTTGTCAGACCCATAAAAATTAGCTTTATTATCAATGGAATGGTTTTGTACAACTTCATTTCTGGTAGATGTCTTCCAGATGGGGCTGCTTTATGCACTTGAACAGTTTTTATGCATATCCTGATTTTTTACAATTCCCATACATCTGGCCTTTCTGAGCTGAGTAAAGATTGCTTAGAATAGTTAATATACAGTATATATGGTTCTGCTTAAATAAAACATATTGAATTTTCCAACAACTTAAGGATATTGAATCGGTTCTACCTGATTCTATCAGGGTCTTCCTTAATCACTTCCTTCTTAATAATATGAATTAAATGGTTTCCTTGAACATGTTGATGATCCCAAGTAACAATAAAATCTATATTACTACCAATAGCAATTCAATGCTGTTTATGTTTCTCACTTTCATGGCATAAAAGGGGAAGTCTAGGGATTGCTAACGAAATTGTAGAAAAATTCATACTATTCATCTTTAATGATAGCTTTGGATTGGAAACCTTTGCAACACTTAGAGACAGATTTGGCAGACTTAGTATTTGTTAAATGTGTGCAAATACTCATTTTTTAAAGCATTTTTATACAAGCTAACATTTCCCCTACAGTTTATAAATGCCATCTATCTTTCTACTGTAGCATATTTAAGCAGTAAGTGCTGGCCAGCTAGGCAGATCATCCCATAAGACTCACAAAGAAGGGCAAAGTAGAAGAAAAATGCTAACCTTAGAGAGATTCAGTGAAATTATAAAATGTTTTTCCAGAAATAAAATAAATCATTTGTATCTATCTTTATCTACTTTACTCATTCAGACATTTAATGCAACAAGTCTTTCAAGAGTCTGGCCAGAGTCAGCCTGTGTGGTTCCAAATCACTTTGGGGTAACATAACAGAAACTTCACTTGTGGGGTGTCGGAAATTATAACTGCTTTTTTAAGGCTGCAATAAATAGTATATATAGGGAGAATGACTTCAGTATTCACAATAAGTAGTATACATAGGAAGAATGACTTCAGTATTCACAATAAGTAGTATACATAGGAAGAATGACTTCAGTATTCACAATAAGTAGTATACATAGGAAGAATGACTTCAGTATTCACGAGAGTTTTCCCTTTACTTAAGAACATTACTGGCTTTCCCAGTATCAACAAATGCAAATACATAAATAAGATTAACCAAATTAATATCAACAAACGGATACACATAAATAAGATTAACCAAATTATGCTTGATCGTATTTCCTAAGGGTCTGTTAAAATGTTCATCATTATCATTTTAAAACTAAGGCTGAATTTCAATATTGTTGTGAACTTTACTTTCCTATTTTGGGTCTGAGTTTATTTCTTGGTATTACGATTTCAATATAGAAAGAATAGAGTAGATGGGCTATAAAGAATAAAGTTTAATTATAATCACTCATTTAATTATTTAATCAATTTGAAATAAATCTTTCTAACTAGCTGTATTATCAATTAAATAACACTGAAAGTAGACTTTTTTAATCCCATGAGACAATTTGCTCGTTAATATTAACATAGTTTTCTATGTTGAGGCAAAATCGTTCCCTCCAATCAATTCCTCATTGTGGGTCTGTGGGTGCTGCCTGCTGTGTGTATGTATCTGGGGATGTGTGTAGAGGGAGTGTCCGTGCTGCATCATTCAATAAGCAAAATTTCTAATGAGGAAAGAGCAATTTCAGGACTTTTGGATTCAAGTATTCTTCCTTTCTGTCATTCATGAACTTCTTTGTGACCTACATCTTGTAAAATAAAAACATGAACAAGCATAGAAAAACCCTCTTACTATTTCTATTTTCTACATGTATAGATGCTGCATATTTACATATATGCTGTATAGATTTTTATTCCTTTCCCTAGTTTAAGATTTATACAAACAAAAAGAAAAACGATTAATTTTCCCTGTGATTTGATTCTCGATACATTAGTGACCTTGATTTTTTGATGTGTATGTAGGATTTCATTTAGGATGTTAGTCTCCAATGTCCTGTATGTCATATTTACCTAGGTGGCTTGATTTGTTTTTCATCCTAAACTGATTTCACTTGCCTCTTTTTGTTGTTGTTGGTCCAGAGTGGGTTGGGATTTTAACGTTGATCAGCAGGCAAACGGAGTATTTTTTTGAGAAAAAAAATTTTAAGAAAAAACTAAATGCAAAATTTCCTGAATTCAGAGGGGGTTCATTCCGTATGCCATATTTATATGATAGTAGAGATATAATGGGAGACTTTTCTTTGTACAACTTGAATTAGTTTCAAGTGTGCCATTTTGCATTCAAATGTAGAAAGACACGGAAACGAATCCTTTATTTTCTATTAGAAAACAGCCACTGTCCCCTATCTCTCATTATGGTGCAGACTACAAGACCTAACAACAAAAATCTATATTATTGATCCAGCCAAGTCTCCACAATTATTCTTTAGAAGGAAACGCCGACGATAAATTACATCTGCACTGGCTTTTCATCTGCTGTTCGATATAAGTGATCTCTCAGGGCAGGCTGGAGACCTTAAATCGTCAACACCCTTGTCAAGGAAGCTAAGGAGGCCTAGGCTTCCCACAAACTGCTTGAGAAGAACTTTTAACCTATAATTTCTAACAATAATATAAAATTCTTGGCAATCAGAAGAACATTTGGGAATACTGATTAAAATTTATTATTTTTTTCCCGGAAACAAAATACATTCTGAGAGGTATAAAAAGAAAGAGGACCACAAATATAGCAAACAGCTCACAGGAATATGGTCACCGTGCTACAGGGACAGACTCAAACAGAAGCTTGTAACGAAGTTTGGGCCCCCTGCTCACAGGAATATGGTCACAGTGCTACAGGGACAGACTCGAATATAGAAGCTTGTAACGAAGTTTTGGGCCTCCTGCTCACAGGAATATGGTCACAGTGCTATGGGATAGCCTCAAAGATAAGCTTGTAAGGAAATTTTGGGCCCACTAGACAGACTATGAAAAAGAAATCACAGCCCTAACAATAAAGTCTTACTGGGATTTATATTTACAAGGCCCCAGCTGAGAGTCCTTGGACCACGCCTACCATAGATGGACTCTCAGTGTTGCTTCACCTATCAATTTCGCTTAAATTCCACACCCTCTGTTACATGTTCTAATGTGAAATGTATGTGAATTTGAACATTTTTAACACACAATTTTCCAAAAATGTTATAATAGCTAAATGCATATTAGTGTCTGTGTATCAACTATCAAAATCTCTTGGATCTGATAGTATCCTCCTCAGAAGAGAAGTATTAATTTGGTAACAATTTCTTAAAATGGTACATAAAACCAAGATTCAAGAACATTCAAACATATTATGAAAATTCGTTTATATCAGTAACAAAACACAAGACTAGTTCTCTCTGAAAACAGTCTCTGTGTATGACCTTCTATAAAGATCTTCTAAAAAGATGTGTTAAGCACATACAAATATGTATACAGACATCCATCAGAAATGAGCTTCTAAATATAAACTTATTTTATATAAACACCTTCACACACAAGCACAAATGTCACTTTAAAATTACCTTCTCACTGAAAAATAATGAAATGATATCATACCTATAAATATGTAATGACCACAATCTCAAAGCAGGACATCATTTCCATTGATTACTCTGAAGATGAGATAATGAATGCCTCTGCTCCCACATCCACCCCGTCTCCCTCCGCCCAGCCTCCTGGGGTGGGGAGGTGGCGTGGCACACCTGTGTGCGTCCTGTAGTGGTCTTTCATTGCGGAGGCTGTGAGGAATGAGTAATGGCACGTGGGCCAGGTACATTTAAACGGCTTTTCTCCCGTGTGCAGTTTCATGTGGTTGTTCAGGGCCCACTTCTCAGTGAAACTTCTATCACATAAGTGGCATGTAAATTTCCTGCATGAAGGAGAGAGAAAACAATGTAAACACGGCCTGCACCCCAGCACCGAAGGCCCCGGCAGAGTGTGTGTGAACCCTGAGGTGCAGCACACACAGCCCCTGCAAGGAGCACTGCAGGCCTGGTCTGTCATGTCTGTATAACCAGGCATTGATTTTTCTGTCGAGGCCTGGCACTTCAGCCATTTATTCTCTGCTTTGCGGTTGGGCCCAACGGGTTTGAAAAATTCTGTTACAGTCCAGTCACCCCTGAGGCAAAAGTGAGAATAGATTTCACCTGTACAGGCCTACACCACTTATCCAGGGCATGGGCTGTCAGAGCAAAGGCTAAATGAAATGCTATCCATACTCAAGCACTCAGACAAGCCCCGCTGTCTGCCGGTGTGCAGCGGTGCAGCTGGAGCAGGGCCTCTCCTGCCCGCGCCCGGCAGCCTGCACCACCATGCTGCTGGGAAGAAAAGGCAAACCCCGAAGCTGCTTCCTGAACCAGGAGACCTTCTGTTGACCGTGTATACAAAAAGGCTCCTTTGATAAGCATAAAAATAGATCATTGTTACAAAATCGGTCTTTGAGAAATAAACCTTAATTATTTCCAGTATGAAACAAATACTGAAAATAACAAATCAGTACTTATACAAGATAATATTTCAGGTTTGCCATTTAAGACCTTTTAATACCTTGAATAATAGAGGAACTCTGAACCATCAACAAAACCTCGAATACTTCCTGTTCCATCTTCTGCCCCTTTTCAATTGCATTCGTGAAACAGTCGATAATATTACTTTTTATTTCTAATACAAATGAGTTTACAACAATCCCTGTAACTAATAAAATGCTGTCCAGCTAATTAATTCTGAATAATGAACAGTCAAAAGCAGAGCAAAACTCAATAATCAACAGTAAAATATTATAACGAGATGAAAAGCACGATGCCACAAAAGCAGTCTGGCAGCTTGGGTTGGCTATCAAGAATTTTAGCGTTTTAATACAACCAGAACTACGAGTTTAACGTAACCTGTGTTTTCAATTATGACATGAGTAAGGAGACGCTGGGCGCATGCTTTCACACAGAGGCTTTACCCATGCTTTCACAAATTTCCTTAGCCCTGTAAGGGCTGGTAAAGAATCTCGGGATCCAAATAATTAACTTTGTCATCTTGAGGCAAGTGTGAATTACCTTAACAAATTTATCACTGGGAGTATCACAAATTCCTATGAATCAAATTATAAAATTGTCTTTCATAAAAATCTCTCTTCTTTTATTCTATATAGTTACAGAGCAATAGAGTTATAGAGCTAAAAAAGCTCTTAAATGCAAGAGAAATAAAAATAGTTAATTATTTAAGAATTGCTATATAACTTAAATGCTTAATATGAAAATTGCCAATTTATCTATATATGTAAAGAGATACTATATTTACATCCATTAACATGGACTGACTTTGAAATTACGGTATCATTCAATCATTGCTTAGTAGTACTAGAAAATGACAAATAGAACTAAATACTTGGAAATGCACTGTAAAAAATATCATGTCCGTATATCTCTTTGACGGGTCTTCATGCATTTAACATTTCAAAACCATGACGGGGATCTTATTTCTAAGATAAATTCCCCTATCTACTTATTTCTTCATGTATTTATTGTGTATCTAACCTTCTCCTACAAGAAACAAATAACGAGGTTAAACAGACACTATCTTTTAACAAATAGTTTCTCCAGACTGTATTACAACTTTATGAATGACAATATAAATCCCTCGTTTTTAAATCTACCGTGATGTACATTTAACAAAATTACATCTATGAAACCTCAATATATGTACTCTATTATTCCTATGTAATAAAAATGTTAAACTAAAGCTTGTGCCTGTCGTAAAATGACAAAAGCCAGATAAGAAAGAACTAAGACCACCACACTCAACCTTCAGAAAACCTCATGTGTTCCACAATTTGCTTTATGAAAATAAATAAGCTCATTCTGGCACTTTGAAAGGAACGGTATTAGCGTAAACTGTCCTTATAAGGATCAAGACTTACTTAACAATGAATGGGGTATTTCCTGGAACTCCTCAAATTCTGAGTCTCAAATATTCCAAAATATTTGCCTTCACACAGCAACTCAGTAAGACCTCTACCATCACCCAAGAGATCCTGGCCCTCCTGGGGACCCACAGGAAGTCTATCACGAGGAGCCCCCTGGGCAAAACATGGGCTGATGCATACAGGTCTGTCTTGCGGGGTGAACCTGTCTTGCCCTGTCACCCAGGCTGGAGGGCAGTGGCATGATCATTGCTTACTGACCTCCTGGTACAAGCAGTCCTCCCACTGGGATTACAGGCTTCAGCCACCTCACCTGGCAGGATTTCTAACTTAAATAAGGCATTCCTAAAATTCTGAACACTTTTTCTAGTATTCTTGAAATATTTCTGAGAGATTTCTTTCTTTACTACCACGTGTGTTCTTTCTTCATTAGCACCCGACCAAACATGGACTGACTCTGGCCTTAGCTCACCGACCTGCTAAAATCAGGAAGCAGAGGTGCGAGCTAGGATGTTCGGTACGAACCAAAGTATTTCTTCTCCGAACGTCTCTCATTATATGATTGACAATAACAGAGCCAAGATAAAAATCCACATCTTTAGACTGAAACTTTTAAAGACGGAATACTAAATCTCCTCACTGTCAGCTATATGACTGGAACTAGAAACTCTCACCGGGTGTGGCTAGACATTACGCATAATAAGCTACAGAATATGGAGGGGACTGAATTGTGATTATAGGATTCACTGCACTGTCCTGATAGATATTTTGGCCTTACAGAAACTCTGTGTTAGAGGATCATTCTACTTTTGAATGTCTAAATATCAGACAAATTACGTCACAATATATAATGTGTATTTTCAATTATATCAATAACCTTGTGTTACCATATTACTAAAGTATCCTACAAAGGTGGTTTTGTACTCACCTTTTTCAAAACACATTTTTAAATGTTGTTTACACGTTTTTATGCCCTCTAGGCAAAGTATTCATTTGCTATTAAAAACTTTATGAAAAATCTGCACATGTCTCACACATAAAGATACAGGTATTTTAATAAAAGTAGTTTATTACTTTATTTTTTAACAGTAAGGGAGAGTCACGAGTATTTTTTTATTTTTGAGATGGAGTCTCAGTCGCCAAGCTTGACTGTACTGGTGCACTGCAGTCTCAGCTCTCTGCAACCTCTGCCTCCCGGGTTCAAGCAATTCCCCTAACTCAGCCTCTCAAGTAACCAGGACTACAGGCGCATGTCACCACGCCTGGCTAATTTTTAGTATTTTAGTACAGACGGGGTTTCACCATGTTGGCCAGGATGCTCTCGATCTCCTGACCTCCTGATCTGCCCGCCTCGGCCTTCTAAAGTGCCTGGCCAGTATATCTGTATGTTGTTTCCAAATCTCAGCGGTCCAGGATAATTTTGGAGTATACTTGCTTTACAATGCTTTGTAAAGTTGAACACGTCAGAGGTAAAGTTATCTTTCACCCCAGAAGGTCTAGTCTATACATACACTATTGAGAAACTGTGCACATATATGAGCATGCAAAAAATATCTCGCCCATTAAAATATAAAATCTTAAATACCTGTCAGATTGTAAGTGGACAAACAATGAATGTAATCACAGAATGGAATATCATAACACAGTGAAAATGAATAAACTAGAGCTACGTTTATTAGTATGGGGTTTTTTTGTTTGTTTGTTTTGAGATGGAGTTTCGCTCTTGTTACCCAGGCTGGAGTGCAATGGTGCGATCTCGGCTCACTGCAACCTCCGCCTCCTGGGTTCAGGCAATTCTCCTGCCTCAGCCTCCTGAGTAGCTGGGATTACAGGCACGCGCCAATGTGCCCAGCTAATTTTTTGTATTTTTAGTAGAGACGGGGTTTCACCATGTTGACCAGGATGGTCTCAATCTCTTGACCTCGTGATCCACCCGCCTTGGCCTCCCAAAGTGCTAGGATTACAGGCTTGAGCCACCGTGCCGGCCTGAAAATTTTTGTAATTCAAAATGAATATTTTAATTAAGACAATCAAATACTATTTCTTATTTCTCCATATAACTTGAACCAGTCTTGTCAAATTAGTGTATTAGACAAACACATATCTACAAAAAGCACAGTAATAAGCAAGATCTGCTTTGCTCCAAAAGAAATTTTAATGAAAGGGTGAGCTAAATTTTATCCAAGTATTTAAAAATTATGTGGTCATTATCTTCCAAAACTGTGACAAAAAGGTGTTGACTAAAAATTACTGTAAAACTACACTAACGTTAAGAAACTTAATTGACAGGTATTCCTTACCTTTTTGAATAAACAAAATATAGAAATGTGAAAACAACGCGAGATTTGTATGATTCTTAGCACAACAGCTTAATGTACTATGAAGTTTACAACAATTTCTAAGTTGCTGAAAGACTTCCAATGCACTGGCAGTTCCTTTGAAATAAAAGCCTTCTTTTTAAAGATAATGATTTAATAACTATAGGATAACACACTAAGAGATGGAATGAAAATGAAGTGGTCTTTGCCCGGAAGGGTTCCCATCTCAATTTCTTCAGATCTGCAAATATAACAGAAACAATCACTTTTGTGAAGAACTCAGCACATGGAAGGCACACAGGGACAGGCACTGCCTAGTGGCCACCATGCCCAACTGACTCACAGGAACTCCCTGTGCTTAACAGTTGCCCCTAGGACCAGAAAGCAAAATGAAGACGTTCACAAAATCCTCCACGTCACAAATTCAGTATCTGTAAGCACCGTCACTGTGAGATGCTTGCGGGATTTGGGGCCCAGGAAACGTCTGAGTGGAAATACAATACTGCTTTTAGACTTCGAGTGCGCTTTCATACAACACAGACCCTAAAACCACATTAAATACACCCAAATAATTCCACTGTAATCCTGTTCATCATATTTCTATGAAGTTTCAAAATACTGTATCATGCTTAACTTTAA